TTCCTTGACGCAAAAGTTTTGCTTCAAATACCACTTTTTAGTATTTTAGAAAATTTCTTGAATGATTTGCTGTAAGGAGTTGCGTTTGGTCCACTTTCTATTGGTAATCAGCTTGAATGCTAACGATTACAAAGAAACTAGGTATAGATACAAAAAATGAACCATATAATTATTTTGTCTCAGACAGGTCAAAATAAATGTTAGCGAAGCTAGAACACAGTTTCGAAATCAGTTGAAGACTGAAATGAGTAAAATTCTTTTACACGTACTCAGCTACAAAAATGTTTTATATTGGAAGAATATGAAAACGATTTGAATGATATCAATGAATCGATAGTAGCCAAGAAACTTTCCTACCCACAGTGAACTTATTTTCACAGCAACAACACAACGCTCCATCGCAAATACATCGAGGGCCCATAATTTTCAAAGTAGTGCTTTCATTGATATCTTTAAGTACATAATGCATTCGTCAACAACTACCACTAAAAATCATTAAAAAGATCCCAACAGAACGTTTCATTCGAGTAGAATTTAATCACTCTTGTGTGACAGTGCCAATCACTTGACCCGGTGGTGCTTAAATTGTAACTTCTTGTCGACAGCTATTACAATAGACACACCAATAACATTCTGAGCAACAAGTGAATTCTCGATGAACTCGCATGACTTCCTAGTGAGTGTTCGACATTGTAAACATGAAACAACGAAATACAGTTAAAAACTCACTTGTTGCCTATTATCCATGACATGTAATGTAAAACGTCGAGCGCTTGCACACCGGAAACGTTGGCAAAAGGCCGACTCTAAAATATACTTAGAAGTAGTTGTCACTTTTTCTAAAAATCTTAGTTGCTCACAGAACCTTCAAACGCACGAAGAATTTGTTCATTTGTGTCAATGAAGATGCCAAATTTAGCCTGCATGGCAATTCCAAGAACCGCTGAAATGTAGATAAATCCAGTGATGACGAATATCATTCCTATATTTACCCTCTGCTACTGATGCTCGTTGTTTGACCAACAAAGAACTGATAGTTAGAAGAATATCGTATCAATAACACCTGAAACATTATTTGTTGCAGACATTGGTCTCTCATACTGCTCTGGATTTAGAACATCCATAGAAACTCTATATGTTGCTGGATTCATTGTATGATGATCGTGTTACCGTCGGAGAATTATTGTCCTTGTATTTCTTTCAAACGTAACTGTCCTTCATGACAAAATAATGTTGTCTTCCGTTTGTGTGAATGTGCACATGTTGAATAGAATCAGGATTATTCATACCGACTATTGATCGGTGAGAGACGTAAGAGTATCGTATGTCGTCAATAAGAAGTTTTTATCGAGTGGCTACCTTCAATGCACACATTACCAATTATGATTCTCTACGCCTTTTGGCTGCTTTTACCCGTAAGAAAAAAAGGAGCGAATAGATTATAATATTACGCTTTTGCAAGAGAAAAAAGAGCTTGCATGCGGCAATAATCTGTTTATAAAAGTATAAAGCTATTTCTTGTTGTAAAGCTAATAGGTGGTGAACAATGAGCAATGAAATAACAATGCATTACCATTTCTATATTTTTCAACAGAAACTAATCAATGAAATTGAGCAATGCTTCATTTGAAAAATATTAGTAAACAAATATTAAAGTCGCTTCGACCAAAACGAAGACCGAAAGTTAGCCACAGGCGACGAGTGACGCTTTACTTTTACTTGTAACTTAAATGTCACTTCACTTGAGCACTACGTTACTAATAACTTGTACGGAATTTAATTTTCAATAACTCAGAAGTCATGAAATGACTTGTAATATGTTCAACTCAGTAACTTAAAACTTACTACAGTTCGAGTTTACTGACTTTAAGACACTGGATGAGTCGTATATTATGCGAACTACATACTTTTATTTTCATTTTTCCTTCTGATTTCGATGTACTACATGGGTGGGTGGTTCGATCGCTTGTGGTCAGCGTCACTATTAATGAGTGTGTATATAAGTGTGTTTGTGAATCGACTCTCATGTACCTTCAATATTATTGTTCATTTGGGTATGAGTGTGGTACACTCATCCACAGCCACACCTACAAACTCGATAGAAAAAACGCGTTTCTACACGTGAACTGTTTGTTTTTTTAGGTTTTCAAAAATTCTTTTGGAAAAAGAATGCAAGCCTAAGACGATAACAATCACAAAAATTGATTTTAAAGCAAAGAAAAGTTGCTCTTTTCATTGTTCTTTCTGTGTAAATAAACGAAAATTTTAATGCGCTAAAATGAGCTCTTGTCTGGCTGGGCACTCTGTACCAAGTTCGGCATTTTTTCTGCAAAACTAAATGATTATTACTTTTCAAGTTTAATTAGAATCAGGTCTTTGAAATTTAGCAGAACATGAAATTTTTACAGAGAGTACCTATACATAGAATTTTTCAATCAATTTTTTATAGAGGTAAACAAATGTATGTAACCATTAGATTGTATACAATGAAAGACCTAGCATATGACATATTACCCTGTAGCACTATGGAGTAATTCGAGTTACTGCAAACAAGTATGAAAGCTCTCAAAATTGTTCCATTTTTCATCAAAGAAAATTTCAATAAAAATCGAAATCAAATACGAAGACCAATGTAACCATATATAGTTTTTCACGGTGATCATGTGAAAAAATGTCGGAAGAAGTCAAAGCTTTAAATGTATTCGGGATATCTTTTCTCCATCATCTTGAGGATGTACAATACAGATATGATACAATCATTTGTCATTCTTCTCTGTAAAATGAATATTTTCTCTGAATTACCAATGATGGGACATTTTTAAAGAAGTTAAAAGATGACATATATGTGAATGTTGATATACAAATATGTTTCATGTTGAGAAATTCCGACGAACTATGTATAAAAGAAAATTTGCAAAATGAGTTAAAATTAATTAAGAAAACATGAAAATATTAAATATTAACTTTACAATGAAAGACTCATCATATACAATAAATTAATAATCATTCCAAGACTACTCTTATCACTGATACGAATATTGATGGATAATAAAAATGACAAAAACGCTTAAATGAAAACTTTTTGGCAATATAGAACAGCTTGAATTGTTGAAAATGAATCAAATGTAAAAAAGTGTGACTAAAATACCCACTTCGTCCGTACGACGGAATTAGACATGCAAGTTCTGATTTTAAAATTAAGTCAAAATTAATACATATTGCAGAGAACCAAATAGCTAGCGAATCACTTATTAATGTTTTGAGAAAAGAAAAATGAATTGAAACAAGCACTATTGCATTTAGTTCTGTTGACCAATGACAATCAATCTGACAGTATAAAACATACATATATTTTAAAGAAAAATTTTCATTAAAACACTAGCATCACAATCACTTTTTAGAGGTATTCGGGTTCAAGGAAAAAACCAACTTTCTCGTTCAATGAAAAGCAATATAGTTCATCTCTGCCCAACATCTAAGTCTATTGAATACTAATTTTTCGAAAAGTTTTGAATGTGCTGCAAGTAAGAAAATTCGGTGTTTTTGATTATGTTTTGAAATGGCTGCTTTTTATCTACTTACAGTTGCTATTTTTGTTGATTTCCATTTATCTCGATATTTCCATTCACTTATCTACTGTTCAAATCGTAATACAAAATATAGGTATATCAGCTCAAACAAGAATGCTTTTGAATTTGTAAATTAAAAAAGAAAATTATACTTTTTTCTTTAGGTTGTAGACAGCGTTCAAAAATCTAAACAAACATCAAGTGCAAAATAAAATAATAACATTTTAAATTGAAGAAAAAAACAAGTCTGTAAGTAATAAGATTTTGTTTTAATTTTAAAATGGATTAATTTAATTTGAAATAGAATAAAATCATGATACTAATAAAATTTATTTTTGTCTTCAATTCAAAAAATTATAAATTTCTTTGCACTCGATATTTTATTAAATTCAATAATTTTCTGCAAAGCCTCACGACAATATGATTGTTGCTTGAAATTTTCATGTGGATAAAAAGAACTTTTTCTGATATCAAAGCAATTACATAAGCTCAAATGAGACTATGTTTGATTTAAAAAAAATGATACTTTCTTCGTTAGGGTTAAGAGAAAAGTAATGAATGCAAAAAAAAATACCACGTACAAAATAAATTAATATTATTTTTAATTGAAGAGAAAATAATTTTCATAAGTAATTACCTTATTTTATTTTTAATTAAATCAATCCATTTTGAAATTAATACTAAGAAAAATTTCTGCAACTCAGAGTACTCTTTTAGTTAATTTAATAAGGATAAATATTTTAATTTAAATAAAATTGTGACAAAAAAATATTCGTCTAATTTTCAAGTAGACGAGGACCTTTTCGTCACTAATGTCTACATCTACAGCAACGTTGAACTATTCCCGATCGCCAATGAAGACATTCCAGACTAGTCAAGTCATTTGTTTTCGACCATTGCTCGATTATATAGTAAGTGGATGCGTCTCTCGGCTAGTTAAGCTGTTAAAATTGACATCAGTTCATTGTTAAGACATTGTTTGCCGCCAGGACACCCGTCAAGTCCTGAATACTGTCAGATCACCTGTTCGAATGCGCCTTTCGGTTCCCTTTTGTTTTTATTCATTTTGTGTTTTGCGAACTAGTCTGGACGGGCTAGATGGACAAAAAAGACTAGACATGACGGGTTTCAAAGGCATTTCGGACTAGTCCAGACGTGATCGCAGGATGTTTTTTGTCAGGATAGCTAGTCATGATGGGTATTGAGAACATTTCGGACTAATCATGTCGTCCGTCTTCACTTATTTTTTGCCTACTTGGGTTACATCTTAACATGCAGAATCTGCTAAACAATAAGATGAAGAACTTTTAACAGTTCTATTTTTCACTAAAAATTATAGGCTCTCTGGTTTTTTATCAGTAGAAATCGTGTTATATCCATTTGGTACAATATGATGGATCATAAAACATTTTTTTAAAATTGTCTCGTCAGTTATTTTTTTTTTCGTATTGTTGAAAGAATTAAATGACATTGATAATGAATAAGTCGATAGAGCATTTCAATGAACTCCATCATTGAGAGAAGACTGACACCGATCCAAAGACCAGTTAGACCACCAACTTTCGAAAGGACGTCACCTAAAGTAATTTGTGCTTGCTGTGTATTATTATCGACGATAGCTGCTTGACGCATGACGCTAACAGCAACATAATTGTTTTGAATATGCGTACGCCATGCTGTAGACCAATCTAATGGCAATGGCACTGAAGAATTTTCAACAAACGTCTTAATTGCATTTAATTGCCATTCGAGTGGGGCTGTAAGGGAAGATATATCAAGAGGAAATGATATTATGGAACATTGCAATGTACAATCTGGACAATATCGTTCGATAAATGATGATGATGCCTGGAATATTTCAATTGCTCGATGATAACAAGGATTAGTGTAATTGCAAAGAGGCGCTAACATTATGTTTTTCGTACCTGGCAAAACAATGTAACGAATATTCCATAGATACGGAGCAACGCAACCACATTGTTGATATCTGTAGCAAAAATATTGTAATTCGACATAAATGAGATACGTGCAATAATCGTTTCTAAATACACTTACGCGTAAGCTTGTATACAAAGCTCAAAGCATGAAAGTTGCGAATAGCCATAATCAGCACCATTATAATCGTTAAGCATTAATTTCATCGAAAGAGGTATATTATTAGTGCACGAAGTATAAGGTGAAGATAAAAAGAAATTTGTCTTCTTTTTAAAACTCAATTTATGTTGTCGTCCTGGTGCCAATCCTATGCCATTCGCATCAATAAGTGGTATTTGTGTATTGTCGTGTATTAGACCAACCATACCAATGCCTTTCACAAAGACAAAATCTCAATATCTGATTCGATATTTTTCAATGCCTACTCACTATCTACAACATATGGCACATATTGTTGACTATGTACATAAAAAGCTAAATCAAGTCGACCAGCGCCACCATACTGATTTCCGTATCGTACGCTAACACTACTATTTTTCATTTTAGCATTGAACGTAAAGCACAAACCATATATTGATGAGACAAATGGAACAAAATCAACAGTTGAACAAGGCATAGAATTGTATAAGCATTGATAGAGCATCGAATTAAGTGAAAATGAATAGTGCGTAACTGATTCATTTCTATTAACTTTATATTGTATAAAATTTTGAATTCGATGTGGAGATAATGCATCTGTACTGTTTTCATTGGTTAAATTCAGCGTATTTGTGTAGTTTAGAAATGGTCCTATGAGTTGATCGTAGCGGAATGATGCAGCATTACAAATACTGAATGCTGGAAAATATTGTGGCCATTCAACATCAGCACTTACATATGTTTGTGTTTGATATTGAAGATAAGCTAAAATCGTTCTAACAATAAAATAGATCATAAAAGAGCTGAAAACAGCAAAGGAAATTGCCCAGAAAATTCGAGTATGTAAGTTTTCACTGCTAAAAGCTTTCGGAAGGCCATGCATTGTTGTGTTTGTGGCAAATTCACGAATGATTGAACGACGACGGTGCCGTTTTTTCCTACCTTCTGTCATTGATGAGTTATCTGGAGATCCTATCGATAAATGATTATCGATGCTTGCCATTGAAATATCGTTTTCTAAAAGTATGCAATAAAAATAAAATCTCTTCATTCATTTCTATATCACACACGACTGACTATTATCACTCTAGTGCTTTCTTCTACTTAACAGATCTTCTGATGATTAAAGTCGAACTAGATTTGATTCATATTGAATGCCTCATATTTTAAAAATAAATCAAGTGTCATAAAATTATAGCGGAATTAATGTTTGTGTCAAAAGTTTACCAAGATCCGATTCATCGATAATAACGCTTCTTGCTCATACAATCGTTCTAAATATAACATTCTAGTTGTTAAACTATTCGTAACAATACTTTTTGTTCAACTATTATGCAGGAAGAAACATTAAGTTTTTACTAGATTATTCCAAGAGTCAATGGTTAAGTTTTATCACGACTGTTTTTTTTTATTGGATTAATGCGATTTTTTATGTATGTAAATACAGGAAATATCATGTTAGACAGACAAAGAATGAAAGCTAATATATTCAGTAATGTTAAATTTGAATTCATCGTGTGAAATTTTTCTGATTACTACAATGCATTATGATCAAGGAAGAAAAGCGAAAATTCCGTACTTCAATGGAATTCAGCGTACTTCAAGAGTGTGTCAAAGCTATCATTGAGAATTTCTTAGCTACTTGAAATCCACTATCACCTTATGTTACAAGCACAATAGTTGGAGTTCATTTTATATAAGTCTCTGTGGCAATTTTGCCAATATTAATATAACCATCCGCCAATCTGCCTATCCTCTATTTTTCTTTATCGTATCTCTATTGTTCTTTCTTATGCTCAACTCTGTCTCCTGCTCTCTCTCCTATATTAGTGCATATTGTAGGTGAAGTAGAAAAATTCTGGAGATACGAAGTAACTCAGTAAACAACATTACCGAAAGTGATGATAAGCTATTCTTCCAGTTTTTGATTACATGCCAATCGCGACTATCCAACTTGTAGCTTCGGTTTCGAAATCGATCTTACATTTATTTTAAAATATGATCAATTACATTCGGTAGAAGATATGCAAAAATATTATTGACATTCATGAAAATCGAAGTATTTGAAGAAGGAACCACGAACGATAAATAGTACTGATTAAAGTGGCAAATGGAAAGACAAAACTTGAAAGAAATGGCACTGTTGGGTGTCTATAGTACTGATTAGATACAGTAGTAGACGCATGGCAGTATCACAGAACACCAGTGAATGTACTAAAGGGCAACTTGTGTTGGACCGACTTTGCAAATGTTTCGGCGCACTATTTTTTTTAACAAAGGTACTTTTTATGCCACTTTATTTAAAGTCACTTCCTTATTCTCTATCTCAATCGTAGTCATTTTCTCTTGGCAAAAAAAAAAGAAGTACGAAACAAGCTGGTGTTGTTGACGACAACGAGTGTGATTGTATACAAGTCGTAAACAATTAAAATTCGTTTATCATCTGTACTACGTATATATCACTGACATTATAATCAGTTAAGCAATAAAGGTCTGTTTTTCATCTGTTGTTACTGTCTGCATTTCATGCAAGTCACTGCTTTTAATGACTAATGATTCGTGATAGTCAAATAACATACGATGGAAAAGCAAATGACACAAAATGTCTGGACCTACTTTTTTCGATAAAACGATACTAAACGAAACCTCCTTTTTACCAAACAATAAATTTTTTTCCTCTTTCGAATCGTATATAATTTATTTTTAGAACACGTTCATAAAAATGACGCAACAGAAAAAACGTTTTTTTTATCAGTTGATAGGGTGATAGGAAATTTTCTCCTCTTTCACGCAGTATACGGCTTGTGTTTGGCACATATTCGTAAATAAAATGATACAGGAGAAAACGAGGAACATTCGCACAATAAATTTATTATTTTTACATGAACTCGTCAAAAACATCTTGTTAGACGACTATTAATTCGATTTTTGTGAACTCATTAAAAAAGATCTTATGAACTAATGATTACTTTGACTTTTATGAAGTCGTTAAAACATCGTGTAAAACGACAGTTAATTATAAGAAGCTGTCATCTACAAGGTGCTTTTGACGAACTTGTATAGAAAGTACACATTTCTTCTCCTAAAATGTTTCTTTTTTTCTCGTTTCGCTTCACTTACCAATGTATGACAAACATGAATCATATACTGTTCGAAAAAGAAGAAAATCTCCTGTTAACTGATAAAAAATGTTTTTTAGGATCTAATACATCGGAAAGATATAAGAATCGATATAATGTGTAGTCCTTCTATAGAAAAAATGCGAAGTTTTTCCAAGGAAGCTTTTGTTTTCTGTTATGTTGTTTTGTTTATGAACATGTTATAAAAATAAATTAAATACGATTCGAAAGACGAGAAATAGCTTTATCGTGTAGTCAAAAAAATTTTTTTCTTTCAACCCTCTTTTCTCGAAAAGAACTAGGACTTGTCATTTTGTGTCATTACTTTTGCATCATATGCTATTTATAGATGTGAAAATGTAACGATAAAAGTAATCGCCCATATGCTAGAAAAGACATTAGACAGATGAAGTATGTCAAAATGATTTTTTTTTCTTGAATATTAGCGAGAGAGCCTAAATGATGTATTACTAACTGGAAATTCTATGTTTGATACGATGAAATGTGAACTATGAAACTTTCTTTTCTGTCTTTTAACTTAGATTTACTACAAGAAAATGGAATATACTTAGCGCTGTGATGCTATTTGGTTTCTCTCTCATTGTTTTATATGTGAAATGTAAAAGTAATATGATTGGAGAGTATAAAAAGAATCGTTAAGGCTCTAGACTAGGTTTTCTGTATGCTGCAATTTATTTATTTTTTTTTTACTTGATGACGAAAACTGTGCTCAAATTTATTAAGTAATAGATTGATTTTTTTTCTGATTCATAGGAAAGTTATACATATGCTCTTAGTCTTAATGTAATGGTATTGCGAAAAGGTAGAAGAGCACGAAAATGTGTTATTGATTATATATCTATTATGAATTTTGTGAAGTTATATTGTTGTAGCTTTCTGTGCTGCTAAAAATGTCTATGTATATTTAGTGAAATTATAAAAATTAATATTTCTCTGTATTTCTCATACGCGTTGAATCATTGTTTTATTTCGTGTTTTGAATGATACTGTCGGAGTTAGCTAGTTTAAAATGTAAAGATAAATCGTCATATATACTTTGTATATAATATGCTGCTGTTTTTTTATATCCTTGCGTAAATTTTTTGTATGATACATCAATTGTAAATTGATTGCGTATATGAGTGTGAGAAGATGTACTTGAAGTGATTTTTATAAGTTTTATTGTTGAATGTCGGCTGTTCCCTTTTTTCATCCTTTAACAGAGTTTAAATAATGGAATTGTTAGTGTTCTGTTCTTTTTCTTCTCTTCACTATTTGTTCTTGCTTCTTTTCTTTTTTTTTGCTACGTTTTACAGACACTCTGGACCACGTCTTATCTGAGTAGGAGGGTGTATCAGCATTGGTATCACCTCCTGCTGATCTTTCTTTCCTCTTTCTTCTGTATTGTATCTCTATTATATTTTTCTGTGCTCAATTCTCTCTCTTGCTCTCTCCTATATAAGTATATGTTGTGTATGACGTAGCTCAATAAACAACGTTACCATGGGTCGCGGTAAAGTATTCTTTTTCAGTTTGTCGTTATGGTAATAAATCCCAAATATGTCATCCTACTTCGCTGATACTTCAATCCTGAAGTAAACTACAGCATAACAGAAGTACAGAATTTTCAATTGTCACTCTTTGAAGGAAAGTCATACTGGATGCATATTTCAGTACCAGTTTTCCGATAAGATAGGTCTAAAGCGAGAGAAAAATAAGAGTCAAATGCAAGAATTTGAGAAACTTCCTACGTGTAGCTTGAGACTAACATGTTTGTCGATCGTAAATGCCATCATGATTGGGTATAATTCGTTTTATACGCGTTAATTCTGTAGAGATGATGATCTTGTTGTTGAAATATGGCACTCAAACAACCATGCAGTCACATACGCTTGGACTTAATACGATAACAAAGCTCAGATACTACGCGTTATACTGAGAGGATCAATTTTTTTTAAACATTTTTTTGTTTTAAAATTATCCAAATTTGGATAACTAACTGAATAATGATGTTTATTTAAAAAAATGCAGAATTCCATTTCTATGGTTTCTATAACTTTCGTATGCGATCAAAACTAGGCATGCATACTTTATTGGTATTATCCAAGAAAAGATTGTAAAAAAGCAAATAAGCAGAGTTTTCGCCGAGTAATAGCTGCTGTAAAATCAGACTTGACTTTGTGTAAAAAAGAATTACCGAACTATATGTTGAAATCAACATATCGACTAATCAATTGGACGAAACAATTGCTTGAATTCAACATTGAACTTATCAATACTATTCTTCTTAACACGATATTAGTAGAATCTTGAAACAGTACGCGATGATCGTGACACTTTTCAATGAAGAAAGCGTCGATTAGTATGTGACGAGGATAGCATGATCAGTCAATTGCATGCATACATAATTGTTTTTTTTAGTGTTTAGTAGTATCCTAAGCGTCTCGTACCTAATTCTCTATTTCAATCATATATCTAAGCAAAATAAAATGATCAATAATCTTGATCATTTGTGTTCGTAAAAACGGCTAAATTTTACAGTTCACTAGTCATTTTCTTGGTAAAACACGGATTTTATGCTATGACTAAATCATAAAAAAATTGATCGATAAAAATTTTATGATGAATTTTCGCTTGTCGTTATGAACTTCCCGTATTTCTGTATGTTAAAGAAGAAGAATATTCCGATTCATGAATTCTATCGTCAGTTATTGATATGACAGATAAAGAAAGAAAGAAAGAAAGTTAAAACAATTCCTAAACTCCTGGTATAAACTTGATAATTCTATATGATACATCTATGTTTCAGTGTGATGTACACAATTTTTCTTTG